CATTTCGCACTACTGGGTTTCACATTACTTGGTCTTTAATACATGCAAATCCGGTGTAAATTCATTCATCAATTTCTCAAGATCTCATCTGCATCCAGATTTTCCAGACAGCTATTTGAGGAATACCTAGGAATTCATTACATAAAAAGAGCACATGTTCATGAAAGGCATCGTTTTTCTAAACTAAGCAAGCATTGCGTTGCTAATAAGCTTAACTTTAATTGTGAAAACATATGTACATAAAAAATAAGTGAATAAATATAGGAAGCATAATCTTTCTAATTTGAACATGAAAACATCACATCATATGTGAACTAAACTTGCAAATATTAAAAAAAATATGGACACAAAAACATCAGTGGTTTTGCAATATATAAGCATATAAGCAATTATTGCTTCACATTCAGTAATAGCATAGCATGCCTCTCTTCATGTCAAATATTGCACGGCATAACTTTTCATGGCAGGTCAGGATTTACATGAAAAGTATATAAGTATTTTACCAGGAGTGTGCAATCCTGATAAGTAGTCAGAGCACAAATAGAAGTAATATATTTCGTAAATAACTAAAACATCTTAATGCCCTATAAAAAAGCTATAGCTGCAAACTAAATATATCAGAGCAAGAATTTCTCATGTCAAGACAGATTATATTATATAATTATATTATATATTATATTATATTATATTACAGTTTCTTAGCCAGGTATGGATTAGCACCAGGGAATGGAGGTTAGTATAAATGCAAAACAACCTCGTGGTTCTTACTGTTGGTAATAGGAATTTATGTTAATAGTTTTGAACTCAGTAAATCCATACGAACCTGAAATTGTGGAAACATTAAAATAGTGTGTTTATATCTTGGTGCCTTTATCCTTTTCCTTTAACTGTTCTTTTAATGTCAGTGGACCATTTCTTTTTGTGCACATGCTTTTTCAGTTAGCCTTAAAATGCTGTTAACTGCTAAACTAATCTTCCAGATGGCATCCTTTTCATAAATAGATATTATGTTGCAGCATTTTACTCCAACTTTTGGAGAAGCTGTCTACAACCTAGCAACCAGCATCTTGTCTTCTTCTTTTGAAAAGTGTAAGTTACATTGACGCTCTGTTTTAAATCGTCAATCATTTTATTAATATGCCTGTAGAAGAATATAATTGTGCTTTTAATATCCACTTACCTATGGCATACAGATCTATTAGGCATGCATGCCTGTGCAAAGGTTGATAGTGAACATGTTTATAGGTGTCAGACATCAACATACTCTCCCCAGCTTGGGTGTCAGTTTCATTCCAGCTTTCAGACAAAGTCCCCCTATGTAGGATCAATAAGATACAGCTAAATTAATCTGCACTTGAATAGTCATATGATGTCTGCCTTTAGTAATTGTAAGACTAGTCAAGATTATTTTTTAGGAGTAAATGTTTGTCACAACATGTGGGATGCATATTGAAAAATAACTTTATACCTCTCTACATTTTACTAGAACATAGAATGTTAATATGTTTATGAATGAATAATGGGATATTAATGAAACTGACTTAAATAAATAACTAGTAATATAGCTAGTAATAAAGTTCTGTAGAGCAGACCACCACAGTCGTACATTCTAGACTATCCACTTATCAATGTGATTATTAAGTTATTATTCAACTCAGCAAGTGGAGGCCAAATATATAATCTTTTAAGTAAACTAACCTGTGGATATTTACTAAATAGTGTATTGTATTCAATTGATAATTGTCTTGCAGAAGTTAGACTAAAAAAATATTCCTACTTGGTGATTTTTAGTTTATTGTATCGACACCTTGGAAAACACTTCCTTTCCATAATCTAAGTATTAATCTTCATTTTTGTCTTAATTAGGAAGCATTGCATCAATTATAAGCATTTAGTTCCAAATCGAGGCTGGACATTGCACAGTGAATGTGGATATTAAGAGATTTCAGACTGTCCTAGAGAGGCATGATTTAGATTTCTAGATTGCATGTACCAATGTGTACCATGGACATTTAACAGAGTGATGAAAATAAACAGACTCAAAATATATTTGGTATCAAAGGAATATTATATTCCTTCTGAAACCTTTGGACGTACACAACAAGCTATTCCAGAAGATTCTATGATGCCATATAAACATTGTCTTTTTTCAGTGTTGTACAATCTGGCAGTTGTTAAACGTTTATTCACTTCTCTCACAGCAACTTTCTCGATCCTTCTTTCTCATAACAATCTGTAAATCTTATCAGATAAGATTATTACCTAAGCTACATACATCTCTAAAACTATAACGAACAAAGGATACAGGTAGCGCCAAAATAAATACAATATTGTGGTAAGTAATCAAAAAAGGTACCAAGTAAAAGATAAAAATGTCCTTTTGAGGTTTTAAAAGTCTTCAAATGTTGAATAAGATGTCTCCGGAGTGGTATCACACATCAATGGCATATGCAAAAGAGAAAAAATAGGAGACCAATAGTGCAGTATTGTGAGTCTATGGACTATAGACAACGTAGAACTAAACATTGCCAACTCACGTTTTTAAGAGCTATAACCGACCCTCTGTAAAACAGCTTACAGTGTTATTTCAACTCTCCACTTGTAGGATATCCCTCAAAAGGTAGTTGTGGTGTAGTTTATATGCAATTAAATAAAAAAAGGCCCATAGTGCTCTCCATATTTGCAAATAAGTAGTAGTAAAATGAAATGTACTTACAATTTTGAGAGCAGACAAACCGCTCTATGGTAACAGCATGGGTGGAACAACCCCCACCTAGGATACTCTCACTTGAAGAAGCCTAATAGGGCAAAACGGGTTGAGGTTTTATTATTGTTTCTTTAAATAAAAGTAAGATTTTTACACAACCTATTTCCTAGTCTTTTATACTTTTCTCTCTCTCTTTTTTTTCTCTCTCCCTCTGTACCAAGTACTCACCCATGATGGCAATTGTGATCAGGGGAACTACCTGACAACCAAGGCAGTGCTCTGGCAGCCAATCTTACCCATCTGCATCATGTGATTTAATTCCACAAGGGACCTGCCTGACCAGTAAGTACAGAGAATTTAATTTCCAAGTCTTATAATTGTAACTTTATAAAACCCCATAAAAAATGTACATGGGAGTATTGTTGTACTCATGAGACATCCCTGAACACAAAAATGAGTGTTTTAGAGCAGTAAAATATATAATGACAATGATATCATTGGGAAAAGTGCAGTGTTTGTGTGAAAGATACAAAAAAACAAATATAAACACTTTCTTTGGCCAGGGTTTGTGACTAAGTGGCTACTAACAAAGACTAGACATATCCTATTGTGAATACCCTGGGTGGTCTACTTTTGCTAATTGTATGCCATGATGGGGATCATTTTCATTCCTGGGCTGCCATACAATCTCAAAGGCAACATAGGCACAGCAAAACCAATCGGGCAATATTCAATGTGTAATAAACTATATATATATAACAAAACCCCATAAAACATGTATATGGGTGAATTAGAAAAATATTTTGGTTATTAATTATATGTAAAAAAAATAATAGTTAATACACCTAAGATTCCCAAATATATAAATTAATACCATGTATGGTGTCAATTGGTATCTGTTAACACTTTATAGGTTGCTACCAAAGTTACTCATGAAATAGAGGGAATCCAAAATGGAGTCCACTCCCAAAATGGGAGTTAAATAACACTCTTGTGAAAAGTTACCTCAACAACAAATTGCTAAATATCAAATAGGTATACTCAAAGAGGTATGATTCAACAATTAACATCCAAATGGACACACACTTGAGTAGTTGTTTAAAAATATATAAATGTTTAATATATGCATAAAAATAATATATACACACATAACAGATGAACAAACTTACATACTTTAACTAACAATGCTATATTACATCAGCAATTGTATTACAATAACAGGTTATGCTAAAACAGAACTAATAAACTGGAAATATCTATGACATTGCAATGACATCACAATGCTACATACAAATCAGCCATTGTATAGAAAATAAAAAATGATTTTACCACACTAAATACTACTTTGATTAAGCTAAAATGAACTAAACATAATAATAATAATAATAATAATAATAATAATAATAACAGTAATACAATATGCATACATATCAGTACCAAACACAGATCACAAGGAGAACCAATGGACAAAGGTTGCATCTAGTTACGCTGCTGGAATGCTGCAAGATGTTCTCTGGTGGTCAGGAAAAATGGGTTTGGCTCTTCAGCATGTGGCTTCAACTTCTAAAGAAGCTGAGCATTTGACTCTCCCCATGTCAGGCATCCATCTTGGAACACCAAAATCACATGACACAAGTGGGATAATTCTAAAAGGGTACTCATAATGAACTGTATTACGTGATATCTAATGAATAAGACCATAATAAACTTGTGTCCGTTACAATGGGTGCAATGTTGTCCTTGTGAGGCATCGCTGAACACAAATATGTGTATTTTATTGCAGTGAAAGGTAATAGTGTTATGACATTCACATTTAAAATGCCAGGCAGAACTTGGAAAATAACATACTTTCTTAATTTCTCACACCTTTTTAGATTTTATTCATATTAAATTATGTTTCATATATAAATATTTGATGTGAAATAAAAACTGTATTTCTCCTGAACAAAATGATATATAATAAGTGTGAGTGTATTTTATATGAAAGAGGTAAATTATAGTTGAACAGACATATAGCTCAAAGTCCGGGTTTTGTTTTGTTTTTGGTAAGAACAGTACAAATATCCCCTAGTACCAGGCTTCCTTAAACTGCGGCCCTCCAGATGTTGCTGAACTACAACTCCCATGATTCTCAGCCTATCTATTTCATTCATAGAATCATGGGAGTTGTAGTTCTGTAACATCTGGAGGGCCAGAGTTTGGGGAAGCCTGCGCCTAATCCTTGGTAGAAATCAGAATCAAAATATTTTGTAAATTGCCAATATATATATAATATAATATATATAATTTTCTCATAACTTTGTTGATAAAGTGTCAAATTGAAGAAATTACTTGAGTTGAAATGTGTGAAATATATTCTGATTTGTTGCACGAATGAAGATTCTCAAGTTTTCAACTTTATTTGACATTGTTTTTAATAGGTGCTGAATAGCACATTCCTTTTTTTGTAAGAAAATGATACATTTGAGCTTTGTTGCATCTATTAATTTGAAGACAATATTATTAACACTAATCACAAGTTGTCTGGGGTGTTGTATCTAGATAACACATTCCTTCATCTGGCAATTGTAATAAAATGAATATTTTTTTCTCCTATTTTATTTTTAATTCATTCACCATATAACTCATATAAAAAGAAAATGCCCAAGAAATTGCAAGGAAATATACCTGTAACTTTCTTTGCATTAGTTTAAAATTGTAAATAGTAATGCAGTTCATTGACTAAGCAGCAAATAAAAACAAATGGCAAATTTAGGCTAGAATTCAACTGCAAAATTAACCCCCACTGTTTTTCATTCAATGTTTAGCACAAACTCTTTTATTGCATGGAAAGACAGTTTAGAACGATTAAATCAGTAGCTGTATATATTATACATATATAGTTTGATCTTTATTTCAGTGACCTTACATGAAAACTGCACAGTGGTATGAAAATTTCATGTATTTTGCAGAATGAAATACTCTGGGTATTGTAACCAGGATGTAGAGAACCAAAATTCTCTACCAGAAGCTAATGGTCATTGACTTAATGCCTGCAAGTGTGCTGAAAATGTCAGCTCATCCTTCCAGTGGCGACTCTAGGAACAATACATAGGCGGCCACGTAACATACCACAGTCAAAACTGAGGGGGGGGCAATGGGTCACTAATAATTTTAAGGCAGGTGGGGTAATGGGCTGCCATTGACTGTTCAAAAATGAGGGAGTTATCTACTACACAGCCGGCAAAAAGCCTTTTCATAATTTCATTATGTGGGATTGCCATATTTAAGAATATAACCACAAATATATATATACATACATAACCACAGACACACACACGTAATCACAGACATACACACACACAATGACAAACCTACACACATATACAATCACAAATCTACATATGAAATCACAGACATACACACACATAATCACAGACATACACCCATACAATTACATGCATGCATGCACACACACAAACACACACACAATTATATACCCATATAACCACAAATATACATACATAACCACAGACACACATATATAATCACAGACACACACACAATCACAGACCTACCACACACAATCACAGACCTACACACACACATATAATCACAAATCTACATATGAAATCACAGACATACACACAGACACAGACATAATCACAGACATACACCCATACAATTACATACATGCACATACTCATAGACATTCACACACAATTACATTCATACACATTTTCTATTTATCAAGTGGTCCACCCAGGTTTCTCGGGAGTGGATATTCTACCTGGTGGCCAGTGGGACTGTTGGGATCACTATGCTCTCCCTGCACAGGTTTTATATGTATCCTCTAGGGATGACAATGATGGGAGCTCTGAAAGGAGAGCACAGTAAGTACAAAGCTCCCTTACTGCCTGTACTACCTCCCCCTGCCTGTTATATTTCGGCAGAGTAGACATCTGCCATATTTGTAGAAAGGTGTCTACTCTGTGAAGTCCAGTTAGTGGATCGTGTCCCCCCTCTCCGAGCACAGGCACTCTTGGCAGGATAGCACATGTGGGACAACTAATAATGTAGGGAAGCAATTCCCCCCAGTCACTCGACTTTACAGTTGCCATAGATCTCCTCCTTCGAAATATTAAAGTTTTAATGGGTCATATCAATCTTACTGTCAGGGAGAGGGGGAGCACTGAATTGACTCTACCATTTTATTATTAGCATAACATTTGCATTCCAAAGAGTGCTATAGAAGCTTTAAATACTTTTATTTCAAATGTATACGGGCATTATGCTATTGCCGTTTTTAGTAAGTTGTACTGCTAGTAATGAATTTAGGGTCCTTACAAATTTCTATCAGCAGGCTATTATGCTATTTTTTTTTTATCAATTTTTATGATGTCTACTGTATATGCCAAAAATAGCATTTTTGCTTTTATAATTATTTTCAGACCCTACGAACTATTGCAAGATTTCTCACACCCTACACTGTAAAATGCTTTAATTTCCCAAGTATTTCTTTTCTTTATTATTAATTTAATATTAGACACCGGGTGACACAAAATGTAGTAACAAAGTGATATTGACAAAATTATACAATATAATTATTGTATTAATATTATTATTATTATTGCCATTTATATAGCTCCAACAGATTCCGTAGCGCTTTACAATATTATGAGAGGGGGGCTTTAACTATAAATAGGACAATTCCAGGAAAACTTACAGGAACTATAGGTTGAAGAGGACCCTGCTCAAAAGAGCTTACAGTCTATAGGAGGTGGGGTATAAGACACGTTAGGACAGGAAATATCAAATAGCAAGAGACAGGTATGTAAGGTAGAGGTTACCCACCAAACTTGGTGCTCATTGTTGTACCACAGATCTGCAGAAAAAACTGGTCTTGTACAACAATGGGCACCAAATTTGCCCCCAGTTATGCCAATCTTTTTATGGCATATTGGGAAGAACATTTTGTTTCCAGCGGACATGACTGGGTGGCAAATTTGGTGTCCTACCGCAGATATATCGACGATATATTTTTTATTTGGATGGGAGACAACCAAGAACTTACCAACTTTTTACAGTTTCTTAATAACAACGATTGGGGCATCAAACTTACTTGCAATACGAGCCACACAGAAATTAACTTTTTGGATTTAAACATATATATTGAAAATTCGAATATTTGTACAAAAAACTATTTTAAACCGGTGGACACTAATAGTTATATTGATAGAACCAGTTGTCATCATACTCCTTGGCTCGTTAATGCACCGAGAGGACAGTTTAAGAGATTAAGGAGAGACTGCACAGATACACAAGTATACACAGAACAATCAAAGTATTTAATGAATCAATTTTTAGAGAAAGGTTACGAGGAAACTAAATTAAAAAAAGACTTGGAAGATATAAAACTTTTAGAAAGAAAACAACTTTTAAAATATAAATCCAAGAATAACCCTCAAAGAAATGAGGACATTCCTTTTATATGTAGATATAACGGAAATACTAAAAAAATTCAAAACGCCATAAAAAAACATTGGCATATCTTGAGAGATGATCCAATTCTAAAAGCTATTTTACCTCCAAAACCTAAAATTATATATAGAGGAACTAAGGGTTTACAAAACATTTTGGTTAGGAGCAGTTTAGATGTTACCAAACCAGACCATTTTTTTGAACAACCTTGTAGGTTTTTATGGTTGTGGGGAATGTCTACCATGCAGGGCAACGAAAAGCAAAAAAAGACACCTTTTGGACATAAGCGAACTAGTAGGCCAACAGTATAAGATAAAAGAACATATTACATGTCATTCTAAAGGAATTATTTATGTCCTAAGATGTCCCTGCAATCTACTATATATAGGAAGAACAATACGACCCCTCCATACAAGAATTGCAGAGCATGTACGGAATATCAGAAAAGGCCTAGAAACGCATTCTGTTTCACAGCACTTCAAAATGACCCATAACCAAGACCCTACAGGCCTCCTATTTTGTGCAATAAAATTAGTAATTAAACATTGGAGAGGAGGAGATTATATGAATAAACTAGGGAAGGAGGAAATGAAATTCATTTTTAATTTTAACACCCTGATACCTAATGGGTTAAATTCTGATTTTGAGATTTGCCATTTCCTCAAAAAATTATTCTGCTTATATGTTACACAATGGGCTAGCTGCTACTTTTGGCACTTACACCTAAGTATAGGTATTAAAGATTATTGCAATTTGCACCTTTATATATGGTGTCTATGTTTTTTATGTATGGGATTTGGTCTTTTACACTTAGGATGTATTACATTATCAATTTTTCACTTATGTTTGATGTTCTTATTTTATCGATGTTTCCTAGTTTTACATATTGATCATTACTTTTAATGGTTCTTATTTTTTCTTATTAGCTTTATATTTTATATTATTGTGTACACTTGGAATATTTATATAAGATAAATATTCACCTCCTTTAGAGATAGAATACTCATATGTTCCACAAGTGAATATATATGAAATGAAAAGGAAGCCAGGTTTAAATTTGGACTATATGCATATGCGAATAAAGTTTTTTCAAGGAGTGGAACGCATATGCGTTCCAATATCGGAGCGATCTGAAAACCGGAAATACGTTGAAAACAGAAACCGGAAGTGACGACGAAATACGGAACCCGGAAGAAGAGGTCACACAACAGACGCCCGGTATTCCCTCATTAGAGAGGGGTATAAAAGAACGAACGTTTGAAAGCATATATCAGGAGCAACTGAGGAAGCCTAATTATTAGGCGAAACGCGTCTTGCTATCCCAGAGTGGACTACTTCAATATCTCTATCACATTGAGTGATTTATTTATTTTTTTTAAAGTTTTTATTTCATTTCTTTGTATTTTAAATTTATTTGTATTTTATGTATACCCCCTTTTTTTATTAAAAGAAGAATTACCTTTGACCGGAATGGTGATGGTCTCTTCTTCAGATTAACATCAAGGGATACAGATACAGCTGCTGCACAGAGAGGGAGTGGGAACCCTTATAATTATTCCACAGGCGTTTAAATTGAGCCATTTTCTTTTGGCTCTCCTTTTGTGAGTACCGAATCATATATTATACATGAAACTACTTATGTACTTTACAATACTACACTAGATTTTGTCATATCTTTCTGTCGTTACAGTTCTCATTTAAATTACATTTCATTTTGCATCAACGAACCAAGATACTCCACCTGTTTGTATGTATTTATGTGCTTTGATTTTATGTGGATAGAGAGGTTGCCACATAGGTGTTTTTGAGCTACTTGGTTGTTGTTGGGGTCACTTGCTGAAACTCTGTATCCGCATTACATTGTAGCTGCAGCATTCATTACAGACTGTAGCGGGGCAATACGACTTTTGGGGAGACCAATCAGGAGGAGGTTACAGTAATCTATGCGGGAAATTACTAGAGCATGGACAAGCTCATTGGTCGCATCTTGCGTAAGAAAGGGGCGGATACAGGCTATGTTTTTGAGTTGGAACCTACA